TTATGCGCTTATAATGTCACTAGCGCTATAAATGTGGTCATTTTTGTCGTGATATAAAGAAAATAATCGATTGTAACATATATCTGAAACGTATATACTTTTTGGCATAAAATATTTGGTTATTAGTAATGAAAAGTGTAGTATTCTTTGTAAAACTTTTAATAGTGTTTTGAAGAATTATACAACAAACTATCAACATGATGATGGATTACTTTGTTACAAACAATTCTTTAGCACCTGCACCTATGGGTATTCAAAGTACAGCTGGTGCAGTACCTGTAAAAAATGATAAAGGTTAGTAATTAAATGCTATAATCTTTAATTTGTATCTTGCGTTTTAATATTGAATAATTATGATGATTTTTTTTTCTGTCATTAAGTGATTGTCATTAAGTGATCTTTATTAATTCACATTCATGCAAGAAGTAATTTTAATCGTTCCATTGAAAATATTTTTATATTTGATGATTCAAGAAAGTAAACATAATGAAAAATAAAAATTAGTTTATTGAAATGTGTTCTATCCTGTAGGTGAACTTTCCATGAAAAAAGTAAAAGTACATCGTTACGTCTCTGGAAAACGTCCTGATTATGCACCAGCAGCTAGCTCAGAAGAGGAGTCTGAGGAAGAAGATTTTTTAGAAAAACGGGTACACAAAAATTATGAGGAAAATGAAATTTCTACAGATACTCCTGCACAATCACAAGTTAAAATACATGATGAAGATGATCCACGTATTAGAAGATTAACCCGTTTAGAAAAACAAAAAGAATCTAATACAGAAATTCGTGCAGAAAGACACAGGCATATACACGAACCAGAATTAATTGAAGTTGAACCAGAAAGAACTCGAGAAAGGATTAAACTAGAAAGTTCAGATTCTTCAGAAGATGAAGAACTGTCAGACTCTGAAATAGAAAGAAGACGAGAAGCATTAAAACAGCGAGTTTTATCTAAAAAGGGAAATGAAGAAGAATTAATTCATGGAGAAGAAGATGAAAGGTCAGGTGATACTTCAGAAGAAAGTTCAGAATATGAAGAATATACAGATTCAGAAGAAGAAACTGGACCAAGATTGAAACCAGTTTTTGTACGTAAAAAAGATAGAATTACAGTAATGGAAAAAGAGAAGGAAGCAATGAAACAAAAGCAGGCAGAAGTGGAAGCCAAGAAAATGGCAGAAGAACGGAAACGGCAAACTTTACGGGTAAATTTAATTACTTAAATAGGTAAATGAAATAATTGTTTTTATTTATTTTTAAGTTAATTTATTACACAGATGGTAGAAGAAGCAATAAGAAAAGAAGCACAAGTTGGTAAAAATACTAGTGAACATGAAGGAAAACTTGAAGATGTTTGTACAGATGATGAAAATGATGAAATTGAGTACGAAGCTTGGAAATTGCGAGAATTAAAAAGAATTAAACGTGACCGTGAAGAAAGAGAACAGTATGTCTCATTAGTAATGATAATTTTTACTTTCACTACATTGTTTTACAAAGAATTTTACTTTTTAGGCTTGAAAAAGAACGACTGGAAGTTGAACGTATACGTAATATGACAGAAGAAGAACGAAGACAAGAAGCGCGATTAAATCCAAAAGTTATTACAAACAAAGCAGCCAAAGGAAAGTATAAGTTTTTACAAAAATATTATCACCGTGGTGCTTTCTATTTGGATAAAGAAGATAATATATTTAAACGAGATTTTTCTGGTGCAACTTTGGAAGATCACTTTGATAAAACTATTTTACCAAAAGTTATGCAAGTGAAAAACTTTGGACGTAGTGGTAGGACTAAATATACTCACTTAGTTGATCAAGATACTACTCAGTTTGATTCACCTTGGATCTCAGAAACAGCTCAAAATTTGAAATTCCATAACAATCAAGCCGCGGGAATGAAGCAAATATTTGAACGGCCATCGTTAAAAAAGCGAAAAAGTGAAAACTAAGCCACGATATGTTAAAATACTTTAATTTTAATAACACATTTAGTACATTATTTTATGTATACTTGTATTGATCGTACAATTTAAATATTTGTATTCTTAGTATTATATTCTTTTTTAGTTATGAATTACATATTAAAGCATGTTTCGGACACTGTAATTAAGTGTATACAAATTTGTAAATAAAAGTTCTCAGTACATATATGTAAAAAATTTTATTTATATTTTACACAACAAACTTTTTAAAGCTTGTTTTGCAGCAGCACATTTAGCTTGTTTCTTATTTCCACCACATCCATAGAAAAACTTCACCTTTCCAGCAACAAATACTTTCAAAGGAACCATAACAGTATTTGTACCTTCGATAACAGTTGAATTTCTGAAAAAATATTACGTAACAGTTAACTAATTTAAAAAACTGATCAAAGACGAAATATCATACTTACAAAAATTGTGGTCGTGCACCTTGAGTTTCATATAACACACGAATTGGTTGTTTTGGAATATTTTTGCTAAATTCATCTAAATAGAAATTAAATGTCATAAATAAACAAATGGTTTATATAAAACAAAATTCTTTTAAATGGTTCACTTTTTTTCTTAAATACATACCAATTTCTGTATGCATAATGGAATATATTACTTTCCATACTGTCATAAGATTTTTACCACTATCCAAGTATATTGCGCCTATTGAAGACTCAAATATATCTCCTAAAACCTTAGGAATATCTACATGTTCAGCAACAGTATGTTTCGGCTCCTCCAGCAAAATCCATAAAAGCTTTTAGGATAAAATAAAATGTATATATAGATAAATATATATAAGATCAAATAAAATGTATATACAGATAATTATATTTGACGGTTTTTATTGCCGTAAAATACCTCGTCATTCACAACATGATTCCTTTCTTCTTGAAACCTGACAAAACGTTCTATAGCATTATTTAATATTGGTGCATACAATAACAATCCAGTATGTAAGCCATGTCGTACAGTCAAGCAAGCAAAGGTGATATTATTAACAAGAGCAGATCTTAGATCTGTTAGAGCACCAGGATTTAAATTTCCGCAATTCTCATAAATATAAACAGTAATTAAAAAATTTAAAATAAAATTAAAAAGTGCAACTAGCTGTATATGATGGATGCGTAAAAGCCTAAAACATTTGAGCTTTACTTAATCTCCTTTACTGCTTAGAATATAAGGAAAGTATTAAATTACCTGTAATAAAAGCGCTCGATTTTTAAATTTATACCCAAGTTTTGTTTCTATATCAGAAGCCCAAGGCATAAGATGGTTTATATTTCCTTCAGCAATTATTGGATTTTCTGGAGTACTATATAGTACTTCACTAATATCACTTTCATTTGGCAAAATTTGAAACCACTTTAACAAAGTTACAGTATTCTTAATACCTACATTCTAGTAAAAGAAAAGTATGCATATTACAAAGAGTTGTTATTTATAACATAAGAAAACATTTTTAGACTTACTTGGAGATATGCACCAATCAATGCTTCCATGCAATCAGATATTGATTTATCAGAAACAGTTTGTATCCCAAGATAATGTTCCATACCTGTTTGTGATTCTGCTGTTTCCCAATTCAGAACCTTATCTTGCATCATACATTTTGTATCTTCGCTTATGTGTCCATCAAATTGTTCATTATGAGGTATTCGAATTTCGTATAAAACATTTGGTGATACCTTAATGGAATTATATTTAATTTTATAAATTTAATCTTTTTTTAATAAACTTAATAAAACTATTTAGCAAACATTGTATCTTTGATTATATATTTTGCTATGCTATCTTAGTCCTTAAAGTAATACGAACTTTTGCATCTAATAACACCTGTTGAAGATGTCTAAATACTGCATAAGCTGGAGCTACAAAATTACTGAATGGCATAAAATCATCAACTTTCATACGTCCAGGAATGTATTTCTTAATTCCACAATAGTAAAGATTACGATTTCCAACTAATTGTCCTTTTAACGTTGTTAATTCACCTTCACTATATTGCGGATAACGTTCGTGCAAAAATAAAGATATAATAAATTTCAAATATGAATCTCCCAGGAATTCTAGACGTTCCAAGTTAAATGCATCATGTGCCTTTTTGGTTGTTAATGCCTATAAAAATTTTATATTTCTATAAAATGATATTTTACATTATAATTACAATTAAAAAAATAAAATTAGGAATATACTTACATACATAATCTGAACAGGATCAATAGGTTCATGTGGATCTTTTAATGACATAATTTTTAAAAGTGGTACTGATACTGATGGTGTATTTATGAACTTAACTTTGTTATTTCTCTATAAAATCATTATTTTATAGACATATTAAATATTACTTAATTGTTATATTTGGAGTTCCTTTCTATTACATAAAGATGTAAAAACTTACCATTATTTTACTATCTTCATTATCTGATTTA